TGTCAATTATCTGTTCCCTGAGAGAGCACTAACTTGTGAACTGATCCACTTTCAAAGAACCCAATAATGTTTATTGCCATAACACCATAGGTTAAGAGGCGAGATGACTGGCCTGAATTTGTAGTACATTCATAAAAAGGGGAACGTCTAACATCTGCTACACACTTGGGAATTATTTCCTCTATTACAATAGCTTTGATAAGTATGTATTCACATGTTAATATCTCTTTGGAGACTTTTATAAAGAGAGCAGATGTTGGCAAGAGGCAAAGAAGCAGCACAAGTATGAGAAAGAGTCGGGGTAAGCGTTAGTGTGGCAGTCATATTTTTTACTAGGTTTACCTGGTCTCTCTCTTCACTTCCTACCTAGAACTGTGGGCCTGATCCGGAGCTCACTAAAGTAGATGACCACGTTTCTCTTTAGGGCAGGCACCATATCATCTAGGGATAGCAAAACACAGTATCGAAACTTCTCTGATATGATCCAGCTTTCCAATAAATACCAGAGTTATTGAAGATGAGCCCTGAGTCAAGGATTAAAGTTATACAACAGTGAGATTTAGAGGAGGTATTCATTTCCTTGGCAGAACAGAGTCCTTAGTTTAGAATTTATGTAGAGAATTAATTAATACGATTCATTCAAAACCTTCCATGTTCAGAAAGGACAGAAGAGAAAGGAGAGACGGCCCAGTCCCACAAGATGCTGAGTGCCTCCTGTGAGCTGCTGAATTCCCACTGAACCAAATGGGAGTTGAGAGTACTTAGAATCAAAGGGGACTGGGTCTACTTTTTGCTCATACAGCAAAAAGAGTTGGAGCAAAAATTTAATTCAGCCAGAGGTTATCATTTCAAAGTTACTTAGTTTGTGACAGGAAGTTGAAAATCTAGGTTCTCAAACTGATCCATAGCACATACTTTTATGCAGAGCAAAAAGCAGAGCAAATGAAAAAGAGGAACAAGTGCATTAGTTCAGATCACAGGTAAAATTAACACCTGCCTAGGTGGCCAGTATAAGCCCTCAGCATCTGAAGCAGTGTTTTAGTCTAGTGGGGAGCCTAGGCTTCTATATGGTCAGTTAACATGACTTCAGACATATCAGCCTGCATCTTAACAGGGCTTTTCAATGGTGTCAAAGATAACTCATCTGAGCGAACATGACTGAAACAGCCTCCTCCCTCCCCATCTTTGTCCATCAAGACCAGGCCATAGGCATCCTCTACCTCAGCCCTCACTCACGGCAGTCAGAGCTGCTATACCCAGAGTTCTGGACATCTCTATGATCATGTCACAAGAAGAACCAGAGCTGACAAATACCAGAAACAGCAGAAGGGCCAAGGAAAGAATGAGCAGGTAGGAAAAGCTTCCCCACTCCCCTTTTTAAGGCAAACTGTGGCATGTGAAACTCTGAAGAACTGCTCAGACTGCACTCCTGTTATTAGCCAGTAGTTCTCCCTTTGGTTCTCTTCAAATAAATTATGTTTGGGAGACGTTTTTGTAAATTAATTTCATGGTCTGTTTCACTTCTATGCAGAAGTGGATTAAAATGTTGATCACTTTAGCCCTGGTTAAGCTGGAAAAAATTATTTGAAAATGAAAAATGAGAAAGTATAATTGTCCCCTTTGCTATTAAGAGAAGTAATACAGAGTTTCATTTGCACACAGATAGCACAGACAGATATTGGAAAAGTTGTGATTAACTCTGCTGTGACTAGTCATTCAGGCCCGATTACAAATGTATAAGTTTAAAAAATGTTCACTTTATAATTGGACAGTTTCTTTCAGGGGTATGAAAATTTAATTCTATTCCACTGCTGCTTTCAATTTCTCAGTGGACAGAGTCTGCAGGCCACATTTCATAACATGCCTTTTCAATGAGAGCATAAAATATTTATGAAGTGTTTATTTAGTGCACAGATAAATTCTGCAGATCACCTCTGAATCCTAATGGAAATCTAGCATGCTGGGAGTGCACAGTTAATCTCTGCAATTTAATAAGGGAATTACAGTATCTCTATGCTGAATTTCAAGCCCACACTAGTTTTTTTAATAATCTGAAAATACAGAGGGAGATTAATGGCACCCAATTTTATCCAAATTCATTGACGTGTACAAAATGCTTAAAGATTGCTGGATGGAAGGTGCAAACTGAGGTTACATTGGGAGTAGTAAAAAGAAAAGAAGTACTTGTGGCACCTTAGAGACTAACCAATTTATTTGAGCATAAGCTTTCGTGACATGAAAACACGGCTGTTACTCTGAAACCTGTCATTGGGAGTAGTAGATCTGTGTTTCCCAGCTGGTTGGGATGGGCTTCTCCACGTGACGGGACATGAAGACTAGCAGAAGAGGAGCTGTTGGTTTGAGGAAGAGGAACAATAGGAGTGGGGAAGTATGCATAACCCAGCAGGACTGGATTAAAGCCTACCCACTATAGGCGCATGCCTAGGATTCTGACTCCTGGAATCACGTGACATTAGAGAGTCCTGTGTTCCCTATAAGCTGCGCGCTTGAGTGGCTGCGCAGGAGAGATTTAAGTGCTGTGCATGTGTTCAGGAGCCCCGGCTGCAACGTTGCTCTGTCCTGTAGCTGCTCCTGGGACTCTCCTGCTGGCTGTGCAGGGGCAGAGGAGGGTGCCGATGTCAGTGTCCCTCCTCCCCCTGCATTCCATCTCTGCAGAGCAGGGGAAAGGCAGGGGACACAGCCTGACTCAAGACTTGGAGCTGCTGCAGGGAATGGTGAGTGACTTTCTTAAAGAGACTGTGCATTGTTTCTGAGATTTTCCCAGCATCCAGCTTACGGAGTCACAGTCTCTCTGTATGTCTGTGTGTCTCTGACGTGCACACACAGTCTCACTTTCTCTCCCCCTCTCCCTCCCTGCTCATGTACCCCATCTCTGCAGAGCGGGGGAGGGGAGACAACATGACTCAGATCAGAGCAGGAGAGCTTTCAATGAGTGCCTTAAAGAGACAGCACAGGGCGTCTCAGAAACTTTCTCAGCAGCCAGCACGTACGCACGCATGCGCGCACAGCCCCCCCCCCATCTCTGTGTCACACTCACCTCCCAACACATACTTGTATTATTGTTGTTGTTATGTCTTGGTACTTCCTGCAATGCACATATATTCTCTGTCCTGGCTGAAGTAATTGTCCCTATTTAACTTTTTAAAAATATATAACTATATCTAGGTTTGTTTCTACTGGTGGAGCACATCCGCACATACCTCAGTCCGCATAACAAAATTTATCCTGCAGAGGGATGGAAAAATTAGAGGGAACATAAAAAAAAAGCAGAGACTATCAAAGTTTCTAGCACTTATGGTTGCAAAGAGCAGCTTTAAAAAAATGTGATAGGACTGTAACAGATGCAAGGACACCTGCCTGAGTCTGCAGACAACCTGGAACAGTAGTTCTGAGATGGGTGAACTGCCTCATGCATCTCAATGGGGGCATTGCTCTGGAGGGTCCTGCCAACACCACCCCAGCTGAAGAACAGTGTAGTGGGCCCAGCCCACGTAGACACATGCTGGCTGCTGTGCAAGCCCCCCTGGTGCCTCTCCAGAGTGCAGGGGGCAAGGGTGGTGGTGGAAGAAGTGGCTACTTGTGCTGCTCTCGGGAGTTGGGGGAGATGGAGACCCCAAACTAATGCTTTTGCCTTTCTTGGAGGGGTTTCCCAGCCTCTGCCACTCCAAGTGGTGGTGGTGGTGGGGAGGAGGCATGGCTTGAGACAGGACCAGAATGGGGTGGTATGATGTGCCTAGGGCCCTGGCTTGCCTTCATCTAGCCCTATAACTCTGGATTTGCTCTACAATCCATAGCATGGACCCATGGCTGCAAGGTATCTTCTTGAAAAGGACCTTCACATGGGTACAAGGGTTAGGTTAAGAGAGTTTTATTCGTTTAAAAGAAAACAGTTATAAATTATCCCTTCTTAGCACAAAGAGGCCCTTGGGTTATACGTACACGATTTCAATTAAACATTACTGAAATAAAGAGCAGTAACTACCATTTTATGTCTTTGCTCTGCAGCAACAGAATGGTGGCAAAGCTAACAGTTCCTTAAAACCACTGGACCATAATGCACTTCAGATGTCCTCTGCCACCACCTGTTCCCTGTTTTCAAACCATTCCTTTGCCACTCCCCCCCCCAGCTGTTCAGTTTGTAGAGTGGCCTAAAGAAGCCTTACATAAAACAATAAATGAGAAGCACAGTTATATTCTTAGATATAATGAAATTTCAGCTAGTCTAAATTTAGAAATTAAGATGATTAAAGAGCATCTTTTCAAAAACTGCATACATCACTGAGGGAAGTTCTTGCTGTACACTGAAAAGCTGCCACTGTCACCTAAGGAAAATAGATGCAATGGTTTGATATAATATCAAGTCAATACACATCAGTGGACTTTGCATCAGGCCCAAAAGGAAAACAAATCTGGAGGGATTCCTCTATGTTCCTGTGCTTATTACAGAATAATCTTGCATATTACAAACACTAAGGTTATATAACTGCAAATACTTCCTTATCCAAAAGGTAACTGGCAAGTTTGTAAGGGTCACTACTGCAACAGATGGCTACAGAAAAGCCTGACAAGAGGTTTGTATCCGATGGAACGGATCTGTCATTGCTCCAAGTAACCAGTGTAAATCAATCTTTTAACCTTAAAATCAGCGCTGACAAGAAGAAAGGTTTCAATTTGGATCATCTTATATCAAAATAAAATGGCCTCTTGGATGTAATTTTAATGGGAAATCGCTAAGGATTCCCTCCCTGTTCTCTCACTGCCTAGAAATTTCACATCTGTTTTCTAAACCCCACCCCCCTGCAGAGCACATGACAAATCTCAAACTGTCCTGAAAACAGAAAACGCTGTTGTGATGATTAAAAGCAATTGCTGCTGCGCCAATATGTCTCTGCTACCCTGTACAGTCATATAATGACATAGCAGGCAAAGCACATAAATGCACCCCGTTAAAAAATGCGTACTTGGAAATATAGCCTCACCTTGGTAGATATACCTCCACTTTTTGTTTTTTCACAGAGTTAGCCCATTCCTCAATCAACTGGGCTTTGACCAAGGGCTCCAGTGTGACTAGTGGAACTTCCTGTCTGGAAAGAACGATCATCATACTTATCTCATCGCCTTCGTATGGTATTTCCAGAACTTGATAGATACCGCCTGCTTCATTGGAGCCATCGCTGAACTCCCCTACAAAAAAGGAATATAATTCCACCATAAGCATTTCCTTTAAACTTTGTCTTTACTAAACAAACTGGGGGAAAACGAACACTATGCAACACTAGTAATCTGTCAGATGTAAATTAAACATAACAAATATGTACACCGTATTCAGAAGAAGGCAAAACACCACACCTTAAATTACTAACCTCATCTTGGGTAACATTTTTCAAAGAACCTAAGGAACCTGGGAACCTAAGTCCCACTGACTCAATGAGACTTAGGCTCCCAAATGCCTAAATTATATTTTAAAATGAGGCTTAAGCCAGGCCTACACTACAGATTTGTGCTGGCATAATTATCTGGGTCAGATAACTAACGTACGTAATTATGCTGGCAGACATTTGTAGTGCAGATGTAACTTAAAGGCGCTTTTGAAAATTTTAATCTTTGTCTCAACTATTAAGTCTTTCTTGATACGTGATTCCTTGTGATGTTCAATTAAAAAGTTTGTAATTGTATTTGTATTTCTAAGACAATACATAGTATTTAAAAAAGGAGATTCCCCAACTATGTTAGAAAATGATTCAGAAAAAAAAAACGTGCCAGTAAAACTGAACATAAATCTCAGCTTTCGATACCACTTATCACTTGACCAATCCTCCTCTTATTACCTTAATGTCATCATCAAAACAATTCAGCTATACACTGCTCACATTTACTTGTTTAGCATTTTCTCTCTCCAAGTGTAGTTACATCCTCATGTGGAGAAAAATGACTTCCTTAACTTGCTCCCTGCTTGGTCTGCAGAACCCAGATTTGTTATCCTTCTGGGCACCCCTTTTTTCAGTGAGGTAGATATATTTATAAGCAATCCTTTACTCATTATAATTTATTAAATAGGTATCCAGAGCACAAGACATGCATGTACAATTATATTTTAGAAATCTGAAGCAGTAAATAAGTGGAACAAAAAATTCAATTTCCCTAGTAACTTTCACAACTGCTTTTGAATAGGATAAGAGATGACACCTTTCATCAGAACATGATAAAAATCAAACTTCAAAATCAAACATTTCATAATTTTAAAGTGGCTAGAACTGAAATTTACAGAATTAAGGATGAAGAAAGAAAATTGCTGCTTGAGAACTCAGTAAAGTTTGATTTAAGGTTTTTTACTTTGTATATTTTACATGTGATGTTAACTATTTCTGTTTTAACAATTATAAAGCTTAAACTTATTGACACTCAATGTCTACCATCATTAATTATTTACCCCCATTGTAATTCCCTGCAACTGAAAATTTAAATGGATAAAAAAGAAAAAATGCTTAAAAATAAGCTTCAATATTACCTGTTGAAATTAAAAAACAAAATAAAAAATTAATTCTGTCAATGCAACATGTAATTGACCACGTGTGTGAAGAAATACCCAACAAGGGAATGCCAATCAGGTAACTGCATATAGTTTGTCAATCATATACATACAAGTGCAGAATTGTGCATGGCTGAATACATAGTGTCATATTATCGCTACAATGAGTTAGCGTTATCTGCACTAATTAAGTCAGCTGTCCAGGTCCCAGCTTACCATAATAAAATTCTCCCTGCTGGTACATCATTGGAATCTGCACTTCACTTTCATCATCTTTAGTGAAAGAGAAAGTCCTTGTGTTTTCAGGTCTGAATTGCGACTTCCAGTTTCCCTTGAAGTAGATTGCATTGACGAGGGCCAAATGAGTTAGAGCACTGAAATCCCTTGATGAGGCAAAATCTTTGATCATGTCTGTCAGAGAGACAGGAAAAGAAGGAGTGCTTCAAACTGCACGTAAAATTGAATATTCAATCAAAGCTCATCCAGCTCGCAAAAAGAAAGAAAATAAAAAATAGCACTAACATATAATTTCCAATTCAGATTTTCACATTAAATCCCAAATTAAATTTCCAGCATTTTCAAAACCTAAATCATGGTGTCGGTATGTAAATCCTTCCTTCAAGTGGTTATCAGTCACTTGTTTCTGAGCATCACTTTTAAAATATAACCCACACTGAAACCTTGAGGAAATGTAGGTCAAATAAAGAAAGTTTCTACCGGTGTTACAGTACAGTTCACTATTTTCCTCCTAGGGGATCAACTTTTATGGACTTGGGCTCTAATCTGAAGAAGCCCCTAAAGATGTGCTTAACTTTAAGAACATAAGGAGTCCCACTGATTGGGGCCTTTAATAGCAATGAGTGGGCAGCGCCGTCACCAGGCATTTTAGTGCCTGGAGTGAGCAAGCATATTTGAGCCCCTTACTGTTTCATCCTCTCCCCCTCCTCCCCCCAGTAATTTTTCTGTCCCCATGGCTTTGCACCCTGGGAAGTTGCCCTGCCTTGGTTACGGCCCTGAGAGTGGGTCAGGTACTCAGTTTTCACTCAGGCGAAGGCCCACTGTCTCCAAGATGAGGACTGTTAAAGAGACGAAGCCCTCAGCATTTGATTCACGGACATTTGCTCATGGAAAGGAAAGGAGAAAAGACATCTTACATCTGCTGTAGTCATGAGAGGCTTGTTAGCTGAGCATAGCAGCTGCTATGCTCACACTCCTAAATAAATTATTCCAATCAGAGTGCATTGTCTGTTACCTGATTGGATACAGCTTGTTTTCAGTAAAATAATTTTGATTTTATAACTCTAAGAATAATGACAAATCTAGTCACTGCATTTAATAAATCATCCCAGATGGATTCCTTACTCCCATTTGTGACCGACATGCTGTATAATGGGTTAAAAAAATAAAAGCACTCTATCTGTTATTTATTACTTCTCAATTTGATTTGTGCCGCGAGTGTGTTTAGAGTCAAATTCTGCCTCTGGATGCATTTGCAGAGCTCCACAGAGCAGCCAATTGGTATCACATTTGTGCATCAGAGGGCAGAATCTGGTTCATGCTGTCTTGGGAGTGACTGTTTTTGTTTATACTTCAGTTTATTCAGGGCAATGTCCCTTGAGGCAGTAAGTTTACCACAGTTAAGAGAACACACAAGCACACTCACTCAAGTTCCAACATGAAAGCTTGTTTGAATACAGGAGGAGGAGGAGGAGGAGAAGTAATCAGAAGTCTTTCCTTCCTCTGTTCGAAATTTCATTTTCAGTGATATTTTCCAAACAGTTCTTGGTAACACGTGTTATTGTATATTAAGAATATTCCACACTATATAGAAACCTAAGACAGTTATGTCTCATTTATTTTGCACCTCGTTGAGCGCATATTCCTCAAAGCTTTGAGAGGAGTGTGTTTAACAAGCCATGGATGAAATCCTGACCACCTCTGTGGCACTGTTGTGCTAACAAGGGAAGAGGGTCATCTCCTCCCTTGACAGCAGCCAGGCAAGAATGAGCTCTGGTGCTACCGACATATTAAGCTGAGGGACCCCTACTGCCTGTCAGTGCATCATTGCCCCAGTGGATTGCAGACTGCCAGGTTGGTCAGCACAAAGCATGCTCGTGCAGCAGGCATTAGACAGGTGCTTATACTGCACCTTCTAAAAACACAAAGGTGCACCCAACTGTACATTCACCTACGCCAGCATGATGTGACCTATTGCCTGCTGGTGCTACTTTGTCTCCTCCATTTCTGTGTCTCCAAACAGCAAGGCAGGATTTTACCTCCAAAGTGCGACACATTCCCTGATACCCTGGCAAAACAGGATGAATTCAAACTAGAGCAAGAGCCTTAACATTGAGTACTTTTCCCATTTGAGCCACCAATTTACGTATTAAATAAAGCATTTCTTCCCATTACAGCTCTACAGCTAGATTCTCAGGTATCATGAGGATGTGTATGTGGCAGAAATTCCTAGAAAGATTCTGAGTCTTTAGACTTACAGTATTGCAACTGAGGACAGAATCTGGCCTCTATTGTTAAAATATTAACATCACAAATTAAATTTAAGAGACATATGGTGGAAAAAGAATTAGAACAAAATTATTCTCTGATCCACAAATTGGGACACATGCTGCTTCTATTTGCTTTCCAAGTATGTATGGAACCAAACAATCAATGGGAGCACCACACAGGCAATGATCAGAATTCAACAGCAGATCTGAGCATATACATTTACTTTTTTAGTTTTGCCTTTACTGTTTTATCCTACTAGAGATCTCTGTTCACCTTAGTAGTGATAGTCTTATCAATGGTCAAATTCTGTCTTTGGCTACACTGATATGGCTTCCACTGAAGTCAACAGGAGCTGCATGTGTCAAGACTTTGTCATTGGATCTGCACATGTCTACCAAAACTGACTTTATATTCCTTAATATATTTGGGCCTTATCCTGAGAGGTAATGAGCACCCACAATTCTCATTTTAAGTCATTACTAAGCTCAGGCCAGTAACGCCTTTAAACATTTTTTATGTAGTAACCAACAGTTTAGAAAGAAAGCATGAAAAAAATTAATTTTCATTAATAAATACATTTATATTAAATAGAAAACAGAGACTCAAATCAGAGTGGTTGCTAGTCAAGTGTCATTATTTACCAATAGATACTACAGTTATTTTCTTATACGTAGAAGAGGAAATGACAGTTGCTCAGAGCTGATTTTTGAAAGGACTATCACAGTACAGGAAAAAAAATTATAATTGTATTAAGAACCGATGCTAGAATTCTCGCTGAGAGAGAAGATTTCTTAATCTTAAGTGAGAGAGAAGATGACAGACAAGACAAAGGTCAACCAGTACTGACCTACTTCAGCACGATACAACCACAAACATTTACATTAAGAGAGAAATAAGAGAACCACAGGGACTTACTATTTGTATGATTCTCAACCCACTTATTGATGTGGTTAGCTACAGCTGCACTTTGACTAAAGTCTACATTTTCTACTTCAGCTTTAAAGTATTTTTTCAGCAATTGCAAAAATTTGTCACTGATGTGAAATCCATTCTGAACATAGAGGGAGTTGGCAATTGTCATCACATACTGGTTTTCCTCAGTAGTTGCCATATCAGAAAGGTCCTTCAAGAATGACAATTCTTCACCTGAAAATAAAATAAAAAAACCCATTCAAAAGTAGTTTGTTTTCCTTAGTGAGGCAAACATACTAAAGAAATATTACATATTCTCCGCACTACCAATTCATAATGGTATCTTAGCCTCAAGTACAGAACATCCATTAACATTTTAGAGTTATCTTTTTTTTTTTTTTTTTTTTTAAGACTCAGACATAGAAAACGTAAACAAATCAGAGGTTAATAAAAACAAAAACAAACAAAAAACCACCACACACAGTGACTAAGATATTATACTACATTACACTGACTTGAATGTGCACTTTGAAGATGTGAAGGCCACTGTGCAATGACTAGTTTGGGTTTTTACTATCCACAATAAGTAGCATTAGCGAACCATTTCCTCAACCCCACACACAACCCTGACAATTGTAGTGCTTTCATTTGTCCCAACATCATAATGAATCATTCTGATCTATCCTGAGGAAAAAAAAAATTCTTGCACATATTTCCCTCCCAAATGCTCAATGGGTCTTGTACTGTGTCCTAAATGTTAACAGTTTTGGGCCCAGGGGGCAAGAATGAGTTTCAATGCCAAAGCCCTCCACTGAGAACTCATCAGTGGAACTCCGGTCTAGGGACTTTAAAATTACTTCAGTTAACTTCAGTTGTCAGGACATTGCCCAGGAAAGGAGAAAAGCACTCTCTTAGGTAACCAGGAACTCTGAAAGTAACAGGTTTCATAGATTAAAAATCCCAGCAACCAGAATTGCTCCTGGAGTCAAAACAGAAGCCAATAAAGCATATGGAGAACAAGTGCAGTGAGTTTAATGTGTACTGAACAAAGATTCAAGCAACCTGCTGCTTTCTACAATAGCTGAAGCTTCTGGTTGGTCTTTGCAGATAGCTATTGCAGTGCACTCTACATGAAGCTGAAATTGGAGTTGATAGCAGTGTATACAAAGTAGGTGTCTGAGATCCAAGCATGGCCTTGCTTACGTTAACTGGACTACACTTTCAAATATCAGAGTGTACTTGTCTGCTTTTTAATCCCTTAGAGGCAAAATTGTAGAACTAGACAGCAAATATAATCTGCAGGCATCATCTGTGTAGGAGACTATGCAAAAGGGCTATTGCAGGGCCAGTGGAATTACATGCATATATCTCCAGAGCACCACCTTATTTTCTAGGCTGCCCTCAAAATGCTGCTTCTCAGAGGCCCCCAGGTCCAGAGGATTTTAATAAAGGCCAGAAGTTTCACTCACGGGTTTTCAAGCAAACACCTACGTACAGTGCCTCCCATTACGATCCTTTGACGTGACGGTCTCTAGCTACAGTCATGTTATGGGGTGAGTTACATTTACTCAGAGACATGCGGTAAAGTGGAAATGCCCAGCAGATTCACTACAAACAACCATCACTACTACCTGTGAACCAAATTTGCCCTCAAGTATGTCCACACAACAATATTGAAAGTACACAGATGTAACTGCGGGTGGAGTTTAATTCCTGTATTATTAAAAACAACAGATATTTATACACAAGGATAACGTATAATATAAGAAACTACTCTAGGTTTATGTTTTCTTGTCCCTATATTTCAACTCACAACAACTAGTTCATACAATAGGCATTATCTGCCCATCTGTTACAGATTTTAAATGGGAGTTTCTTATCTAATGATGCTAAATATTTACCCCATTACACCAGCTGCTAAGATTTTTTTCTATTATTCTAAATTTGATCATCTAGTCCCATCAAGGAATCACAAAATAGTTATGCTAAAAATATTTGCATTAGACGTTACACAAATCACATAAAATTACAGCTTCAAGAAATTCTACTACTTTTCAAGTGCAACAACGAACAGGTTTTCAGACTTTCTCCTTAAGAATACCATATTATAATTCTATTGTTTTTGTCTTCAAGTTGCTTTACAGGTATTAACAAAACGATCATTCCCAAAGATATTTGGAGGCTTTTTAGGTGGATGTCATCATTATTTTACAGATGGAAACTGAAGTGAAGAGTTCAAGTGACTTGACTCCTGAACCTTGAGCGCTGTCAGGCCTGGTATTAGATTCCAGGAGTTTACAGTTCTATGCTGAGTCCACTACAATATACTTCAACATGCTCAAATTATAAATCAGAATGTCATTAAACCTACTGGTTAAATAGCAAATCAATGAACAAACCCTTGACATTTCCATGGTTGTTCAATAGGCTCCATCTCTTCCTTTACAACAAAAATACATAGAGAAACACAATTAGAAGACCTTACCATTTTTCAAGCTGTCATATCCCAGGGAATGTCGAATTTCTTTCAAAGTGGACCCATGAGCTCCAAGCTCCACCATCCCCAGGGCAATTGCAATGCTCAGAGGAGAGAATAGAATGTTCTCATCTTCCCCAGTGGCCCGCAGCTGTTTATAAATGTTCACTGAAAACTCTGCAATAGTTTCATCAGGAAAATTTGTGCTGAAGGCCTTACTTTGCAAAACCAGCAAAAACAACAGTCCAAGGAAGTACATGTCTTGTGAGTTTCAGGTCTGCAAGATAAAATTTTAGAGAGGATGAGTAAATTGTATTTAAGAAGAGGTTGGAGGGAGCGAGGACACACCACAGTAAAGCTAATTATATTGTTTTGTACCATGGTTGAAAAAATATAGAGAATTTAAACATGCAACTTATTTATTGGGAAAGGGGTAAAGCTAGTACATGTGCATTCCAAAGAGATTTCTGTAGAAGATCATTAAGATAGATAATTACAATATTTATCTATTCTATTGTGTCCTTTTACTTTCAAAAGTCACCTGCAGTTTAAAAAAAAAAAATGAACACAGATGGACAATCAAAATAGTTTTTGAAGTCTGCAACAATTTCCCTTCCAAATGGATTTTGCCAATAGTATGTGTATTAAAAATGAAGTTACATGCAGGGCTTTGTCTTTGTCCACCGAGCCAAGGTCCTATTTATTTAGCTGAAATTGTGGCACGTCAGGCAGTGGCTGTGGTGTTAAGGCGTGTCTGCAATTCTGCAAAGAAACTTGCTCTTTAGTTGAAAGAAAAGGAGTACTTGTGGCACCTTAGAGACTAACCAATTTATTTGAGCATGAGCTTTCGTGAGCTACAGCTCACTTCATCAGATGCATACCGTGGAAACTGCAGAAGACATTATATACGCATACCGTGGAAACTGCAGAAGACATTATATGTGTATATAATGTCTTCTGCAGTTTCCACGGTATGCATCCGATGAAGTGAGCTGTAGCTCACGAAAGCTCATGCTCAAATAAATTGGTTAGTCTCTAAGGTGCCACAAGTACTCCTTTTCTTTTTGCGAATACAGACTAACACGGCTGTTACTCTGAAACCGCTCTTTAGTTGGGAGATCAAAAAAAGGCAGACTGTCCATGTGCATTGCTGAGCTCTCTCTTTGCCCTCCAGTTAGACTGAAATCAATGTCCAAATCTGATGAAGATATGCCGTTTCCTATTGAAACTGCTTTGGGTGAGCCCACAGATACCCAGATCAATGGAAACATACTAGGGAGGCTGCTTGGTCACAAAGCATGTGCCAAGTTCCTAGAGTGAGTCTTTGAAAGGAAAGTAATTTAAAAGGTTGGTGGGGAAAAAAAGGGTATCAACTGAGTGAAATAAGATCCTTGTTGGTAGCAAACCAGCTAAGAAGGGGTTAGTTTTTCCAGCCAGAGTAAACATCCACCTGGGGACTTTAGTAGTGGGGTCAGTTAATACAGTGTTTGACTGGAGTATCCTTTGTGGAAAATGTCACAAAAGGAGGGAAGAAGAACTCAATAGAACAAGCTCTGGTTCTCAGCTCTCTCTGTCAACGCACTGCAGGCCGGGCTGAAAATGAGTCAGCAAACAGTAGTGCTGCCAGCTTTTACAATTTTATCATGAGTCTCATGATGTTTTTCTTAAATCCTCAGCTCTTAGAGTTATGTGAGAATTTATTTTTTAAATAAAAACTGACGAAGTTTAACTTTCTAACCCTCATAATTGCAGAGAAAAGCTTGGAAACATGACTCAAAAAGTCTCCAAAGCCAGAAGGCAAATAAAAACACTTGAGGGGGTGGGGGTGTTAAATTTCATGATTCTTGTGGGGCCTGGCAACTCTGATTAGTAGTTTGCTTAACTATTTCAGGACACTAGGGACCCTGAAGTCAGTAACCTTAACATAATATTACTTAATATTTATATAGTGCATTTTATCTTCAAAGCACTAAACAAGTGTTATCCAATTAAAACTCACAACACCCCAGAGTGGTAAGCAATTAAGCATTACCACCCTCTTTTCACAGATGAGGAAACATAAGAATTAATCAGATGTGTGTATGTTTTGGCTACAACTCTGATGTAGCCATTATTTAGTGATCTCCCTCACCCTTAGCCACATATGTCACAGATAAGGTTTTTTGCTTTGCTTTTTCAGTGAGTAACCAAAACACTTTAACTTGTTAACTGTTGCGGGGTCTACACAACACTCACAAAAATATGGCCTTATTGATGCACTAAAGGAGTTCACGCATATTAGCCAGGCATTGTTTTATGGATCCATATTCTTTTTTGCTTACATATTTGTATGGGCCTTGTCCCAGCCCATAGTTTCCAATAAATTCCCCCAAAACGGAATTTAACTGTATGTCTCTTATCCCTCCTTGTAGATCAATTATCTTCCCACTTCTTATCAAGACATCAAGAAAGCCTGTAGTGGAGATTTTTATTTCATTAGTTTTTGCTTTATGTAAAACAAATCATCTGGGCCTGTCAGCTTTGACTGTTGCTTATGGCTTGACTACCTACTTTAGCATAATCATAAGACCATCTAACATTTCTTTGTCTCCCTTAGGAAAATGTCTCCCAGTCTTTGAGGCATGACCTTCACTATTTCTTTCAAGAACATTGATGCAATGAATTCATTCTGGTCCAAAATAATAACTTTATCTGTCACTAGCTTCCCACTTACCTTCCTTAATGACGCTAAGGATTTCTTACCTGCCCGCTCGCTACCCAGCAATTTGAGGAATTTAATCTTTTTCATACTTAACATATAAATCATAATAGGGTGAACACAACTGTCTTTGCTAGTTGGGACATTTAAGACTTCCTTCTCAATGAGTGCCTGTGTGTGTGTGCTATTTTATATTATTACAAGAAACTCCAAACAGCAGTGCCCCATTTTGCAAGGCGTCGTACAAACATTTAGTAAGAGACACTCTCCTACCGTGAAGAATTTATAAGCTAAACAGCCAGGAGAGACAAAGAATGGGAGGAAGGCAGTATGATCTTCCATTTACAGATGGTGAACTGATGCACAGAGAGATTAAGTGACTTGTCCAAAGTCATACAGGAAGTCTGCAGAGCCAGGAATTTAACCCGGATCTCCTGAATCCCAGTCCAAAGCCTTAAAACAGACATCCATCGTTCTTCTCCAAAGCAACACACTGCTTTTCTGAGCTTGCCCCCAAATTTTGGGAAAGAGCATATAATGATTTAAATAAAAACGTCATATGCTCTGCTGAATGGGGGTGGACTTAAGCATGTATTTAAGTGCTTTGCCACATCAAGGCTGTAGTTTTAACTCATGCCAGCTTGCTTTGAAAACTGAAAGGAGTAATTAGTTTGATGCACTTGCATCATCTTCTCTGTCATTTCAAAAAAGCTTTCCAATTACTTCTGGTTGTGAAGATAGCTATTCAGCACTCTGATCAACAGTCTGCCGTATGTGCTACAGCCAGATAAGCTATAACAATAGCAGAAAGGGAGATGCACACATCTTCTAGAGAGAAAACTTCAATAGCTAGTTTGAACCATTTAAATGCTAATATTTTTAATCAGGTTTATGCAACACACACATTCCCAACACCACCCCTTTTCGTTGCACAAAAATCACACACACCTCAGATCTTAAACTTTTAAAATATATTTTAGTTGTTTTGCTAATCAGAGCATAATTATTATTATTTTGTAAATGAAGAACAGCAGATTCATGGCCATTAAGTTACCTGAAAAGAAAACAGTGCAGTTTCATTTAGTTCTCTGGTAGATAAAATGCTTCCTTACTTATATTTAGAGTCAAGCGGTATCAATATATTAAAGCAAAAACTGGATGACTATATTTAATTTAATAAGTGAAAAGGCTATCATAAGAACAGCCATACTGGATCAGACCAAAGGTCCATCTAACCCAGTATCCTGTCTTCCAACAGTGGCTAATGGCAGATATTTCAGAGGAAATGAACAGAACAAATAAACATCAAGGGATCCATCCTGTCGCCCATTCCCAGCTTCTGGCAAACAGAGGCTAGGGACACCATCCTTGCATATGGCTAATGCCCACTGATGGACCTATCCTCCATGAACTTATTTAGTTCTAGTTAGTTTTATACTTGTTCAATGCTACCTTTCCTTTTAGTGGCCAGAGACCTTTTAACGGATAGTTAGTTTTTTCCCCCTTCACAATTTGGATATGGAGATTTGCTTTTTTACCCACATCCTGGCACACAAAATTTTGAGAAATAATGAAGTTTAAAACTGAAGAAAGATAACAGATTGCAAACTGATTCAGGTCTCAATTCAGGTAAGCACTTCAATTCAGGTAAAAACGCTTACGTACATGCTTAACTTGAAGCTTGTGCGTATGGCCCATTGACATCAATGTTTAAAATTAACCATGTGCTTAACTGCTTTGTTGAATTGGGGTTTCACATGTTAGCAGGCCAGAACTATAACACTAAGTAATATTTCTCACAGATATGCCTTTAGAAACAATGGTGAACAAGAGCACTGCCTAAAGTACTGAATGTTAATTTCATGTTTCACAGATCAGTCGATAAAGCTTTGCACAACCAGCCAGACGGCTCTGAAAATTTCTGCTGGCATCGCTTGTCAGGCACTGTGACACAAATTTACCATTTTTCAAGTTCTCTTATCTGTTCAACCTGAAATTTGTGGCGACATCATCAGGCAGTGTAAATCCGCATAATTACATTGATTTACACACCACCTGAGGATCTGACTTATCACTACAACCACATAACTGGGATTGCTCTTATACCATCAGCTCTCTTATTCTTTGCTTCAGGCTATACTCCTCTTTGGTATTAGGCTATCCCAGTGCTTTTTTGCAAAGGGTCTAATCCACTGAACTGATGAGTACCTCTACACGGAGCAATACATTCTCAACACTCACTGATTTGAACAGGAGTGGAGGACACTCAGCACCTTGCTGGATTGGATTTACACTGAATTACAAGGCAGTCCAGAATTAACTGTACTGTATACACAAATATAATTTCAGCTTCATTTCCTTCACTTAAAATGCTCTAATTTATGCCTGGAAAATTAGATAATTCTCATGAGTATCACTGGCCTTTTCAGATACATCTTTTCCTTTGAACCATCAGCATTTAGGTGATACTAGATCCTATCAGTCTCTGCATTAGCAGAGGCCTCAAATCTCCAATTAAGTGGTACTGTATTAGCTGCAAAAAAGATTAAAAGGAAAAGAAAATGTTAAATAGAATAAAG